CCGCACCGCCGTGCCCAGCCCCGGCACCACCGCCAGCCCCGGCAGCCCCGGCACGCTCACCCCGACGCTGCTCGTAGGGTTGAGCCCTGCAGTGGACGTGCCAGCTCTCCACAGCTGCCAAAAAGGTGGGCAGGATTTGAAAAAATGGAAAGCAGTAGAGTTTTATGAGGCTTCAAGCTGGTCATAGGGTCCCTGTGTGCACAGGGCTGTAAGAAATCCCACGGGACAGGAGTACGGCATCAGACCCCGCTGCGTGTAGGCAGGATGGAGACCATAATGGCTTTAAGCGAGATGTTACCCTTTCGTGCGTTCCTGTTCTGTAACTCGTGTGCCTGGAGTCATCTCTGACTGAGAAAAAGGCACGGTTAATTCGTGATTTCAAAAAGGCCTTACTGCCTACATAGACAATATTCTGGGGGACAGAGGTTTGAAGGAAAAACAGGGTAGGCACCTGAAGGAAATCTTTAAAAGAACAAGAACCTGGCTCCAAGCGCAGCAACGCGAAGTGGAAGCTCTGCCAGCTTTCTAGGCTGCACTTTCAGCGAAGGCAGATTGTGCCCAGATCCAGCCGCAGACAGCTCTGGTAGAAATACCACTGCCCATCTTCATATGGAAACAAGATGGGGCACTATAAAGAATTGCTGGCGTAGTTTTGCAGGTGGTTTGGGTTTGTTCCCCCCACCCCCAATCACCTAACTACTGCTGAACTCCTGAAGGCTGTTTGATGTTGGAAGATGAATTAGAATGGGGATTTTGGATCAGGAAACAGCCTTGGAGGAAGTTGCTGCTAACACTGGCCGCTCCACTTCAGGCTTCCTTTGAGACTGCCTAGTACGAGCGAATGCCAGCATCTACGCTTTCAGCAGCGTGCTAGTGCAGCAATACCTGTTTCCTATCACAGTCATTTGCTTTCACTGCTGAAACACCACTGCTCTACAGAAAATTGCAATTAGAAAAGTGGCAGGTCGGAACCTCTGTTTAGGAAGTTTTGTCCCCTCTGCTCTGGGCTTTTCACCTTGTCACAGGTTATGGAGCCTTTGCATCTTTGCCTCTGATTCTGCCGCCTTTAGTCTTGGCACCGCTAATTTGCTCTGTTGTTCAAGATCCCGAATCACCAAATTTAATTTCATTACATTCCAAAACCCTTTGCCTCTGATTCTGCTGCCTTTAGTGTTGGCACCGCTAATTTGCTCTGTTATTCAAGATCCCGAATAACCAAATTTAATTTCATTACATTCCAAAACATGTGAAAACCACTGCCTGCTTTCTTCATTCTCCTGAAAGAGTGCCAATGTGTTTCAGGAGGCCAGCTCTGCCATTCCCACTACACTACAGCGACTATGCCATGCCTAAAATAAATGGTATTCTTGGAATGCAGTTTCCTATATAGGGCTGGGCATTCCTCTCCTTTCGTACCAGAATAATTTTAGTGTCCTATTTCAATGTCAAGCTGGTTAATATGTAAAAGTCCTGAGAGGATGGGGTCTATCCACAGCTACGTCTTTGAGAATGGACATGCCTCTGGGGCGAGGGGTCAGGCCCCTGGAGGACAGGCAGGGAAGGTACCCTGTGCGGTAGTATGAGAAGTACCTGCTTCTTTCCATCATGCCAGAAGTCACCACCAGCATCTCCTCTCGGCTTCCCGGGGTCATTACCGACAGGGCTGGGCAAGCTCTGATGAAGAGAGGTCTTCTGCACTTACTGAAGGTGGGGAGGAAAGCAGGTGTGACTCAGGTCTGGCAGAGTGCAGAAGCATTATTGAGCCCTGGCAGGGGGTGTCAAGTAAATGGCAGGCAAGTTGTCATCCATTCCTCTGCTGTCCTTTGCAGAAACAGTGACCACGAAGCCCCTGCCTGGGTTTCCCCTCTATCACCTGCATGCTCTGCAGGGATTTGCTGTATGTGAGTATAGGGCTAAGGGACTGTTTTTCCCTCCAGTGTTTTGGAGAACTGGAAGTTGAATGAGACAAGAAAAAAGCTGGAGAATTACTGCCTTAAACCACACGTACGTATTATTTTAATTGCATGTCCTGAGAGGGGCTATCTTCTTGGGAAAAGTTTGTCAAACACCTTGAAATGTGATAGCCCTTCCAGTGTCACAGTAACTGTGTGGTTCCCAAAAGCGGTTTGGCAGTCCTAAATTGCAGAACTGGGTTTTGCAACTGGAAGTCAGGGAGTGATGCTGGAAGTAAAACAAGAAGTGGAATCAGCAGCACAAACACTTTGGACATTGCTGTCCTAAATAGTTCACCAAAAGACCTAATACTTGAATGAGTTCAGCCAGTTGAAATATAAAGATGCACATTAGAATGCTGGTGACAGGGAAAAAGCTGTGAGATATTATTGCATAAAACTGTGAGTCAAGACCTTTAATGTTACAGTGTTGCCTGTAGCTTAATTGCACTTGCTCCTGATAGTGTATTATATCTTCACTATTACACAGGCATTAATTTAATCAGAGGTAATAAACGAAACCTCTGGAGTTAATTACAGGTCATAACAGTTTTGCTACGTTACTAGAGCAGGTGGGAAGACAAAAATGTGGACCCATAATCATTAACTGGCTTTTGCAATCCAGTCATTACAGGAGAAAGATAATCAAGATTAAATTACTGGAAACATAGCCGAGAATGCTCAGGCATTTCCACAGCAGTTCTCAGTGTGGAAGACCTTGGCTACCTTTGCCACCTCCTGGATCCTTTCAGGCCCAAATGCATGTTGTGTTTGAATCTGTTTAAAAGATCTAAGGATTGCATCTGCAGATTCCCGAGATCTGATATGTCTGGCAGGAGGGGTCTTTGCAGCGTGGTTTCAATGGAGGCATGCTGCCAGGAGCTGGGAGCTGCATGTGAATTACCGTGATTTCCCCTTGGGCCCTCCCGTTTCTGCCAAATTTGAAGTGGACTTCTTGCAAGTGAGAAGCAAACATGGCCCCCTTCCAACAGGACAATGGCTGGGAAGGTGTCTGACGTGAAAAACCTTGCAGAGGAGCCTTTCAAAGCATCTTTAAAAATCCCCTTTTGTAGGGGAGTTCTTGCACTGAAGAAAGTTGTTAGCTGGGCATGGGAGGCAGAGGGCATCTTACCTGGTTGCCTAATCTTTCTGATCACAGAGTTACATTAGAAAATAACTCCGTCTTATATAAAATGATTCATCTTACACTATTTCTAAAATGCCTCTAGTCCCTTGGTGCACCATTCAGCACAGTAAAAAACTTCCTGGTCAGCAGGATTTGCTGAGTATTTAATCTAACCTTTCCTTTTTGAAAAAAACAAAAATCTCTTACTGCTTTTAGTAAATTGCTTTTTAAACACAATAAATACATCATCTTCTTTGTGTTTAACACACTGATACTTGTAGGCAGCTATTCAGTTGCCACTTTCAGCCGAGGTACACGTATATCAGACTCATTCAATCTGAGCTCGCAAGCCAGCTTTAAACCTTTAATCGTTTCTGTTGTTCTTTTCTTAAACTGCCTCCGCTAGATCTACATCGTTCAAGTATTCTGAAATTAATACGATACATCAAGAACGGTCCCTTCAGACTTTTGTAGAGGAGTACTGTTGTCTACCTGGTCTGTGATGGGGATTTGTCTCCACAGTGCAAGAAATATACTCCTGTGTTACATGGGAAGCCTGGCAGTCTTAGCAGTGGGGGATTTTGGATTTTGAGGGTCCTTTCAAAGGTGACCCTGTGCCTGAGAGCAGCGTGCTGAGGGCTTAAGGTTGCTGCTGGGTGCTGACCAAGTGTGTCACCACATCTGCTCCTTAGTTCGGTGATATGTGGGCGATAAGGTCTTTTCAATATCCAGCCACATACCAATATGGATGATCTGAAGATTTGTGGCTTCAGTTCTTCAGAAAAATCCCTTCCCTGCTGTCAGAATGCTCAGTGGTTTTCAGCCAGAGGGCTGCAGACCTCCACATTGCCGGGTGGCTTCAAGGGGATGTGCCGCTAAGAAAAGCAAATCTATTGATGCCTGCTGACAACTCGTCTGCAGGAGGCTGAAGCTATAGTGGAAAACTTTGGGGACTGCAGAAAATAAAGGGTTGAAAACAGCAGCTGCTGATTAATCTCTGTGGGGCTCTTTTTTTTGTCCCCTGAAGAAGTATGTTTTAGTTATTTTTCTGCAGATGTATTAGCAGTTTGAATTTCCAATGTCATATTCACTAATGTGTATTATTCCCATAGCACCCTGCACACTATTTCTCTGCACTCACTGCTGCCTTTAGTATGTCCAAACTTGGGATCATCTGGGAGTTCATCAGCTGTGTCTTGGGAATTGCATTAGCTCACTGACCAGGGCATTTTCAGACACAAATAAAGATACAAGGTAAAGACTCAAAACTGGAAATGTGGAGAAGAGTGGACTGTGAGCTTGCAGAATGCTAGCCAAATTCCAGCTCATCTGTTGCTATAAGTATAAATAAATTAAGCTCCATCTTCAGGCTCTCATTTCATGGTAAATGCAAATCAATGTCCCTACAGTCTCCTGCCTGAAGGATCAGCCTGTTTCCTTCCCCCAGCCCAGGACGGGCATTTTCACCCTAGTTTTCCTACAGTCACAACATGACTGAAGAACTCACCAATCGAAAACACTTAGACAAATAAAAGTTAGCTTTTGACTAGTTTAATTAACGCATTTCACTACAGGAGGTCTGGCTGGCGGGGGGAGCATGGACAACCTGCTTTGGTGGGAGCCCACATGTCTATCAGCTTCGACTACGCAACTGCAGGCCCCGGGGCCTGTCCTGGAGCATCGCACGCTCTGCTCAGTGCGTTCAAGCATTGCTGGCTTCAGGGTCCAGTGCCCTCCATAGAGGTCCAGGCTGGCAGGAGGCCCGGACCACCGCGCCTGCCTGTCTCCTGCCCACGGGCCCATCGTTCATTCCGTGCCCATGAGGAATCTGCCTGCCCCAAGCATCGCGGTGACATCCAGAATTAGAAATTGCGTAGGTGCTTGATGGAGGAAAAAGACGATGGTGTGTGAAGTTAAAGGTCATGCCCAGGGCTGGGAAGCTGGTTGGTGATGAAAGCAAGAAGGGAAAGTAAAGTTTTCCCCGTGCCTCCCCGCTGCGCCCTGTGCAGCCTGTGCTGCGTCTCACGGGCGCTCAGGGTCTCTGCCGTTCACGACCCTCCCCACGAAACTGCCACTTATTCCAGGTACAAGTGATGCTGTGCTTTAACATGCTCCGAACAGCAGACTCCTCGCCTTGCGCTGTTTGGTACTGAAATCTAGGAAAGATACCTAGCATCACAAATAACCCAAACACGGTCATTTCAGAGCGCACGTTAAGGGTGGCATCAGGCCAGAACCCCCATTTTCTTTCAGTTATTTTCTTTCAAATACAACTTCATTTTTTCTAAAGCTGTTTTTCTCCTGCCTACTAACCTTAAGTACCTTCAGGCAATTGAGTAAGATAGTTCTATCTTTTCTTGACCATATCAGAGAACATATAAAAAGGTGCTTAACTTCTCACAGCACCCTGTTTTCTGACTAATAATCTGTTAGATTCCTGTTCTCTCTGATTTTATTTACCTCTCTAGACACCAGCATTATAAAAATATTGCCCTGCAGGAGATTTCAGAAGATCCTCAGGTCATCCAAATCCTGTTCAAATACTGGCTGTGGAAATAGCCAGTACATCGCTGCAGGACTTTTTCCATGAACGTAAACCTTTCATTAGCCATCGCCAAAGACTAATTAACAGGTGGAGGCTGTGCCCTTTGGTGACGGGACATATATGTGTGGGGTCTTTTTTGCTTGCTGGTTTTTGGTTAAATAATATAATAAACACATTCAACTTCTTTCTGCAAGCCTTTTTGACCTGGAGGTGCCTGTTTTGGTGCCGAAGCGGCAGTGTTACCGCTTCCTCATGCCTGCGGCTGCCCGTCTGCCCGAGGTCAGCAGTGGCGCAGAAGAGCCAGGGGAAGGGTGCGTGCGAGCGGTCCTCAGCCGTTCCGCAGCAAAAATACCGTCCGAAATACGTGGCCTGGGCAGCGTGAGGGACGCGGAGTCCATGGGGAAGGAGATCCCCACGGAGGGGGAGTGAGGGTGGTGGTATTCTAAACCTCGTGGGATTTTTTGGCAGCGAGAGTCTCTCTGCAGCCTCCTCGGGGCGTCAGGGAATGCCGTGCACAATGCCACGTTGAGAAAGACGTGTACTCCTACTTTCAGTAGACGTGTTTATTACAATATATAACATAAAGTGCTTTGTTTTACTCTGTCACCCTGGATCGGTTTTCCCTCTTCTCATCCATCCCCCTTTTCTCCCTCTGAAGCCATTTTTCAGAGGTTCTCTGTTAATTACCTTCCACTGGTTCCATGTGTTGGAAAAGCTGCTTATTTAAAAAGCATGAATGATCCCGTTTTGATGGAATGATTGTCAGGCCGACTTGGATGTGGCTGCAAAGCCTGTGACTCTGAGGGAGCACTGTTGGTAGGGCTCAACCAGGAGCTTGTCTCAAGAAGTAACTGACAGAGGCCAGCGTGCATGGTACCGGATCCTGAAACGAACTGCTTTGCTCTTCCGCTAACTCTCCAGCTCAAAAGCACCTCGGAGGTCAGCGATCTGCTTGGCCCTCTTCTCAATTAAGTCTCAAATAATTCTACCCAAAAAACAAGGTTGAATGTAAAAAACACCCCAAAACCAGTAACAAAAATTAATATTCAAATATCTGAAAGGGGAAGAAATACTCACCATGTCACTTCACCGAGCATCTAAACTTTCAAGACTTACATGTCTTCAGGATTGTTTTGGGGGCAGGGGAACCTCTGAGCTATTCTTATCCTGAAAGAGCATTTTAAATAACTCCTTCTTACACTCTCATTAATTTTTAAATACATTGTTTCGTGGGTGTCCATCATCTCCTCCTCCTAATAGCTTTTATTTTTATATCAGACAAGTAGCAGGCTCACAATGCTTGCCTGCTATTCTATATATGGAAATGAAATCATTGCTTTACACAGAAATTGTAAAGAACATGGATCACACAGTGTTTACTAGAGTGCAGCTGAGTACAGAATTTTGCCTGCTGAATGTTCCCACTGGCAGCTGGAAACCAGTCCGCATGGTCACCTTCCAAATCCCAGTTAATAACCACGGCTGGCTGTGCGAAGTCGCGCCCCGCAGCGCCGGTCCCTTGCAGCGACTTGGGAAGCTCGCAGCTCACCAAACAACTGGTTGAGCTTGGTAAAGTGAGGCTCAGGTCTTTTTCCGTAGTCAACGTTCCCTAGCAAGAGGGATCTTTGCCGAAATTATGAGTACGTGACTGAACCCACAGCGACCGGCGTCTTCAATCCAAGTGACAAAGGTGTGAGGTTCGGCAGCCTGCGACTGCGGTGGTTGTGGAGGAATGACTTAATATCTGCTGTCAGTCGGAAGCGGAATGTGACTGAGGGAAAGTGCGCGGGTCACGTTTTAATGGCAGTCTGGGTTGATGAAAATGTGAAGTACAGTGCCGGAGGATTCCCGGGGTACGGTGCTGCAGCAGTCACCGTTTGTGCAGGCTCACAGACCATCCTACTGACAGCTCGGCCGCGAGCAGCGCCTGACTTTTTCTTAAATAATAAAAAACCCAACACCTGGAAATTAAGATTCTGACTTCCCAGTTGGGATAAGAAGCTCCAAGCGCTGGCGTCCAGACACGGCAGAA